TTCTGCATTGCTCTGCTGCCCTTTGTTTATTCTTGTCCTGGAAGCTGTTTATTTCTTTCCTCTGGAGAAATACCAGACTAAAAAGAGTTGTGCTACACTGTTAGAAAGACTCCATGTTTACTACCTACATATTCGAGTCCCAATCAAGAGGATTTTTTAATGCCTTTCCCGTACTGGAGGACCTCAGAATGCTGATCCAAGCAAAGGCATGTAACAGGAACCACAAGGAAAGCCCAGAGCTGTGAGATGCAGGGAGCTGCAGCCACCATTGTTCCTAGGTTAGCAAAATGCATTCTATTCAGTGTTTCAAATGGTTTGGCAGCCAAGGAGACCTTACATGCTTGTTTGTCCTGGGTATACCCTTGTGATCTGTCTCAGTTTTAATAGCATTCCCTTTCAGTCAGTCTGTAACACATCCCATTCTGGATAAGTTAAATGGCTACCCTATCAAATATTCATAGAAATCAACTGACAGAGGCAACTTCAGTTCATCCTTGAGTCGGTTCATGACGAGAATGAAAAACAAGGGTAGACACAAACATCAGCAGAACCCAGATAAATCAAGAGGGAATTCCAGGCCAATGCAGGCACAGCCCACTGGTCTCCTTGGACAAGGACTCTTACCAACCCTGGGTAAGAGTTGCTGAGACCAGCTACCAGAATTCCCCTGGACACCTAAATGCTGTCATTTATTCTCTAATTAGCAGAGAGTCATCTTCTAAGGCAGGCTGTCATCCTCAGAAAGTTCTGGGTTAAAGACTTCCTGGATCTCCTTAAGGGTTGTTGAGAAGTATCAGTTAAGTGTGAGACCCAGGCATGTCTGGGGGGGCTTCCCTTTCAGGAAGCAGGAAGCCCAAGGTCCACAAAGAACAGGGAATTTCCGTCTCAGTATTCCAATCCCTTTCTGATCCAAAACTGTAAAGAAGGAATTCATGTACAATTCTTCCACTTACTGACTCATGTTTCTTTGTCTCTTTATATTCCCATGTTTTTACTAGTTTCTAAAATTCAAAATTCTGTGTAAAATATGTGTCCCAAATTATGCCACACCTTTCTGATTCTAAGCAGCAAATGATTTTCAAGTTTATCCTTCCTCATTTTATGTGTGTGAACAATCTCAAATACTGATTGCAAGTTCAAGTTAAGCTCCAAAGGCACTGATTGATACCCAGGGCTCATAGTTTCTACCGCATCACCTTGACCAAAAGGCTTTTATAGCAACCCAGAAAATGTATTAGAAGGCTAAACTGCTGTTAGGCATTAGATGAGAAAATGATGGTTTTATGACCAGACATGTTTATTGAAATGCAGAAATTTTCAGAGCTTTTGATGTGCGTTAGCTGTCTAGCTAATCTCCCTCCTTTTTCATAACCACTCCCATTTTATTTTTAGTCTGGAGGACAAGTGTTAAGTGGCATGCTTCATGAAATATGTTTCTATTAGCCTTTTTAGAAATATATGTTTACTGTGTATATAACTGTAGCACCAGTTACATTAATATCATGAGTGCTTTTTTTCTTTCAACTGCTATAATAGTTTAATATCACACTTCTTTTATCACCACTGAAAAGATGGACCTGTTGAATTATTTTATAATTTTCTTTTATTGTTCTATGAAGTACTATTCTTTAGTAAATTATATCTACTCCTGAGCCAAACATTGACTTTGAGCCATTGTCTTCCTTTATATGAAATCAACATTTAGAAATCAGTGCATTTCATAAAAGCATCAATTTTAAAAACTAGTTATGGGGTCTTTCTCTGTCAATCTCTCTCTCCCTCTCCCCACCAAGCAAAGCAAAAACAAACAAAAACTGAAATACCAGCCATACAAACAGAGCCCTCTCTTCTTCCTCAGGCGAGATTCCTGTTAGATTCCAGAGCAATTGTACTGGAACCAGAAGATTGCCTGGCATGCATAGTATGTCTTATATGACTTGAAAGCATGTGGTATAGAGTCTTGAGTGCCTTATCAGGGTATCCTTTTATAAAGCTCAAGAAACACAAGCCACCAGAAGAATGTTTAAGTGACAGTGCTGTATTTGAATGTCCTCATAGTCACAATGTAGGTCCAAATTACCCAGGGCAACCAGCAAACAGTTATCTCATATCCCATTTGCTTTTTCTCCACCAATACATTAGGAAGAAGTACTTATGCTGAGAGTAATAAATTGCAAACACAGAATAAGTCAAACTCTTTTCTTTATATGCTGTGATTATCACATTTATAAAACATGTATTGGAGCACATAATTCTGATTCACTTTGCATTCTCCCAATTTTCATTTTTATTAGCGTACCTGATTATATGTATAAACTAGAACATTCCAGCAAAAATGGAGGAAAGCCTTAATGGTTTTTCTTAAAGCATCTTCCAAGTATTTTTACTATAAAATGAGTACAGTGATAGAGAAGTTTCTAAACTGAACAAGTACACAACTCCAAAGCACATTGAGAACTATGCAGAATAATTTTTGATCAGGCTGTGTGACTGTGCCAAGCTCAAAACAATGGTTATTCTGTTGTGACATCTGCCGACCAATGCATCCATTGTTCTCTGGAATTTAATTCATTTTAAATTACTCCATCCAAATGATAAAACATGAGATGTGCTACACTCCAGGGGTAAAATGCTATGATTGTTTTTATTGTGACCACAACTGTTAGCTGGGAGGCAATACAGTCTGTTCTAATTAGGCCCTGATTATTGTCTTTTGAAAAACAGTTAGCTCTAAAATTGGGACTGAAATCTTGTTAAGTGGAAGGATTGGGATAAAGGACCTTGCCTACTCTGGTATGACTGCAAAGTTGGCAGATCCCTATGCAGACTCTCACAAAGTAGAGCAACGGTCTCTGGAAGAGAAACTATTTTCAAAACTAAAGCAGCTTGGGGTATTGGCTTACTGTAAGATATAATTTAATATGTGCATCAATACAGCCAATAAATTATTTTACTATTCAAACGACTACCATGCAAATGTCTCCAAGTCCAAACTATTATAAATGCCTGTCTAAGAAGTGTTGTGAAAGTTATTCTATGTGGTGGAAATACTACCATCTGTAAGCATTAATAACTAGTCACTAAAAAAAAACCCAAGATACGAATCTCAGAAGAAAACACATACATACACAAACATATCTCCTGTATGCCATGTATTTAATATAAACCTTTGAAACAAGTTCAGCAGATGAAATAAAAATCAAAGTTCTCAAAAAAGTTAAGGCTTAACTTAATCACCAAATATTACCCTATTGCCCCAAGTGTCAATATTTTTTTATTTCTATGCAAAAATATGCTTTCAAACTGCTAATGTGATATGATATACAAACTAGTTTTCAATACAAGCCAGTCATTCTGCAATTTTAAGAAATTAGGTAAAAGATATTATATGACACTTATACAACACACACACACACACACACACACACCACACACACACACACACACCACACGTGAGAGCCAAAGATAAGGCTGGCATCTTCTACAATGAGTACATAATGGCCATTAAGTGCTGCCAGGAAGAAACACCGTGTCACCCCTCCCTGCAATCCACATAGTTTCCTTTTATCCAGTAACAAATCTGGGCATATTTGAGAGGAGTGATTCTAACAGCCACATTGAAATCCTGTGGAGAACCATTCATGTCCACCCACTGGTGCCCCGAGAAGATGCCAATAATTTTTCGCTCCCACTTCTGCTGCTGTCTCTTCCACATCCTCACATAGACCCCTGATCCACTGGCCCCAGGCTGGGCATCGCACTGTTGGTAGAGCAGGTCATAGGTCTCATCTTTGACATCACAGAAGCGGTACACCAAATTGCCAGGTCGGTCATTGTCATAACCAGAGAAGTGGATTCTGCCTCCTGGCAGCTGTTTAGCAGGTGGGCTCACTCCAATCTTCATGAACTTTCTCTTGTGGGGCTTTTTGAGTTCTAGGAGAGTATAGTCATAATCCATGCCAATGTCATTGGCACTGCCTTTGATCCATCCCTTGGGCACATGGGTGCGTTTCACTCGGATCCACTGAAATTTCATCTTTTCAGGTGTAGCTGAGCTCGAGTTGTTGGTCCCTCGACCACCATCTTTATACCTGGGCTTCAGGAAGCCCACTCGGAGTTTCTGTGTTCCTTTCACATAGGTTTTCCCATCATGTATGCAGTGGGCAGCTGTAAGGACGTGTTTTCTCTGCCACAGCGTGCCAGTGCAGCCTGTAGATAATTTCACTGATGTTGAGAAAGGATAGTTGAGTAGGAAGTCCTTCCAAAATGCTGAATCTGCTGTCATAGCCATAAATCTGCCGCTTCCTCCGAGACTTTCTCGCAGACTCTGTGTCTCGGGGTTGAGCCCCACTTCTGCCACTGCTGAGAAGATAAATGCCTACCTGGGTCTCTGTGAGGCTGCCATTGGCATAAAGCGTTTCATAAGACAGGTATTGCTTGACCTCTTCATTATGTGGGTGATGGAGCTCCCTTGTGACACTGGGGTCCACATGAGGAGGACACCTCCAACTTGGCTTCTGCCCCAAATTCTGGCTTGGCTAAGTTGAGGGTAGTCTGAGGCAAGATGACAGGAAGCTGGTAAGCAGGCCAAGTGGGTTTCCAGGAGCCACTGTAGGGACTCACTTGCCCAACCATACAGAGCAGGAGGAGGAGGAGGAAAGGAAGAGAAGCCCTGGAATCCCTGCCATGTTGAGCACCATTCTGCAGAAAAAAAGACACGCAGGTCAGGAGGGCAAGGGCTGAAGCTCATTTACTTAGGACTGACAAAGCCGGCAGCATGCCTGTCATTGTTTCCAAGTTTGTGAACCCTCCTCAGGAATCAGGGTGTAGACAGAAAGCCTTAGATAATGGTCTCACTCACAATGCAAGGCCTTGACCTTGGGAATGTTCCTGTGGCTGGGTGCCCTGAATGAAATGAGGTGTTCATTCCCTTCTATGTTTAAGATGGCACACTGCAGGGTGGATGCACACAGTCATTAGTCCCCCAATTCCATTTCATTTTGAGCTTTCTTTGTGCTTAATTCTAAACCCTGTCCTCTCCTACCTTCCCTGCCTCTCTTTCCTCCTTCTGTCTTTCTCATTCTCATTTTACCATGTAGTTGGAAAATTTTCAGGGCAACTTGCTTGCATTGAGAAGGTACAGCTCCACAGTATCTAAGACTTTTGTCACTTGTATATGATGAGTATATTTGGGGATTTTGCTTTGAATTTAGAACAACCTTTACAATCATATAGCTAGTTCCAGAGTAGCCAGGTTACTAACAATCAAAATATTCTCTTTTCCTTTGGATTATGTTGTATGCTAACAGAATCTTTGTCAAAGATCTAAAGCTATAATACTGCATCAGGTACAGCTGTATGACCGTTATTATTGCTTACTTTTTCAGGTGCTTTTATCTGTGTTCTCAGCTAGTCTAAGCCTTGAACTCTGCTTGTACTCAACAAAGATTTATTAAGTGAATGTTTGTGGTAACGGAAGAGTGAATGAATAGTGAGTTCAGAAAATACACATTTGACGGGTGGCTATTGCCTGTCATTAGAATGACAGAGATGTACTCAGATGATGTAGCAGCTCAAAACACATAAAGTCAAGTGTGAGAAGAAAGAGAAACAGCGGAGGCCTTCCGGGAGACAGAATGCTTGAGATGGGCACTGAAGTAGAAAAGAAGTTAGATGACTTAAGACAGAGAGAAGGGAACCATAGCGTGCAAAAGCATGGAAATGTGCATCTGTGTGAGTCACTTCAGGAATTATACTTAGCACAGCAAGGGTACAGAGGAGGTGGTGCAGGCAGTAGGCAAGAGTTGGATTATGAAGGGCTGCAGGTACTGAATGCAAAGTTTGCATTTTGTCCTGAAAGGTATGCTTAAAGAACCATTTCAATCATCCCACAAGAAAACAACGATGAAGACTGGTGATACTTTCATCAGCATTTAAGAATCAGTGGGCTCTGGCTGGCTCGGAATCTTCTGATTCAGCTGACTCAGTAGGTAGGGTAACTCATTCACAACCACACATCCCAAAACAGGACAGGTGGGCTATGTCTCAAGAGGCAAACAGAACAAAGCAGGAGCAAGAGGAAACAGTGACTTCCTTATTTTCATTCTCTTCCTTTTGGTGGGTACAGAATTGCTGGCGACTTCTGTGTGCTCTGTGCTTGCTTTATATAAAACTGGAACCTCCCATGGTCTGATCTAGTCCAGCCCCGCCTGCCAATGTACATTCACAGTATCCTCACAGAGCAGTTCTAAAATACACGTGTGTCCCACCCACCTCTGGACTTTTTTGCTCTATTCTTTCTCTTGAATTCCACTTCTGCTAAGGAGAATAAGGATGGGGAAAAAAGGAATAAGGTCCTGAAAAAGCCAATTCCTTGGGATTTCCTGATTCCTTGAAACTCCACTTCTCTTCATTTCTAAATAGGAAGGAGCTCTGGGTTCTTTTGTGAGGAGGAAACACTTTTAATTATTTCTTTAGTCCCTGAGATCCTAGGGTACATGAATATGTGCATACATGTGTCTGTGTGCATTTGTAATGTGAAGAATGGTAATTCTGCTAACATTGAATAGCAGATGTGTTATGCCAAGTTTTACTTCAGCTTATCTTAAGAAAGGAGACACAGAAACCGAGGGTCCAAGTTACCAAGAGTTCCTGTTTTTAAAATACTATTCTTGTGGGGAGAGCTAGTACTATACTATGTATTTATCATAAATTGTAAATGATATTGCAACATGCAAGAAGAACATGAGAGTATGATATGATAGGCTCATATTGTCATCTACAGTATGGATATTCAAATGCCAAATCTGAAATTTGTATGTTAGCCGGACCCTGGCATTATGGAGTCTGAACTATCAACTGTACTAAAATTTCAGTTGCATCCATTTTTATCTAGCTTTATCCATTTATCCAAAAATTTAAATAGTTCAATTGGCAAGGGTGTCAGGGAAGAAAATGGCAGGAAGAATTCTGAAATTGGTGCATACTTTAAAAAATCCATCTAGGAACCTTGTCATAATGAATTAACACCAGCAAAATTAATGTTAAATTTTCAAGTGCTTTTCCTATACAGTAAATTGCTTATTTAAATACCTCAAAGGACTCAAAGTATGTCCCATTTCACAGATGCCACCATTGCATATTTCTTCCTCATCTGTGCTTCAAAAAGAAACAATGTTTTTAGAAACCAGTTCCTGAGCATTACAGAGTAGGGAGTGTTAGGGACATCTTTTCTTAGGATGTGAGCTCAGGACAGTCGGCTAGACTCTCACCCTTAGAGCCCCACTCCAGACTCTCAATATAAAAGCTCAAGTTTTTCTTTGTCAAAATGATAGATGACTATGTGTCAAGAACTTTTGAGATCATTTACAAATTACGAATGCTATTAGAGAATGCTACAGAGTCTACTGTATGATAGCATATTACTAATTCAGAGTGCTTAAACTCAAATTCTGGTCATTTATCAAGGAGTAAGGGAGAAGGCAGTCATCTATGAGATAAAGACTGCTAAACGAACAGGGCAGGGTAAAGCTTTAACCTTTTAGGACCAACTTTTTGGATACTTCAGAAGCACTACTTTCTGTTGGTTTGAAACATTGCCTATCAGTTCCCTACATTATTACTTAACCATATTAACTCAGGTGATAAGAACTTGTGATGACAGCATTCTATGACTTGCTTAACATTTCTGTGTACCTCCAACCATTATGCTATTACACATCCAAAGACTTTAATTCTGATTTAGAAACTAATTCACACTTACAAAAACAGCTCAAATTATTCCAAATTGATTAGGTTTTTAAATACTTAATCAGAAATTGAGAGATAAAGCTGTGTCCTCAAATAGTTTTAAGCTGGAATCTGTTAAGGTTCCAAGCTTCCTACAGTACCTCATTCCTTTATCAAGTGTTTTTTGAGGGTGGATTAGAAATTTTTCTGAATAGCAACCTGAACTAGGTGATCTCTTTAAATGATCTTTGCAAGTCCAACATTAATTTTATAGTTTTCCAGCATCAAAAAAGTTCAGGTCGGGGACTACGTTGTTTACAGTGTCTGCATTGCCATTTATTTTTTAGGAGCATTTACTCTTGGAACCATGAAGGCTGGAGGCATAGGGGTAAAGAAAAAGGAAAATTTATCTTATTACTCTGTCACCCAAGTGGGAGATAAAATTGCTGTGATCAATCTACAAAAGAAACAAAGCACTCCAGCAGAGGGCAGCTTTCAGGAACTAAGTGCAGAGATGGCTGGCTATGAGACTTTCAGGATAGATCTCCAAGAAAAGGAGACGGAAAACAACCCTGCTGTCCATTAACAGTCTTTTCTAAGATATTTGCATCCTACCCTCACTCATTACCATAAACAACATATCAACACTAACTGTGATGCTTTAAAATTAGGTGGGTGGCTTTGCATTAATTTTTCAATTCACCCAGAGGCAAATAATTATTGTTTCCAACTTTATAAACTCTAGGTCAGCATGTGCTATGCCCATTTAAACATAGACACTTTAGGATGTAAACAGATGTAATAAAAGCATTCCCAATCTTGCAACTGGAAAGGTAACAAGTGGGTTACATAACTTTAAATTCTGACATGTTTACAAATGGTTCACCTCATCCTGTACAGCTGTCTACAAAACTCTCTCATCTAAAAGAAAAATGAAGATTTCCAGTTATCCTCGTTACATCTAAATGTGGACGAAGCAAATTTAGGTCCACAATACTCCATCCCTAGGAACAGTCTTTGCAGGATAAAGGTTCCTCATATACATAAATTATCTTTAAAATTTCCAACCAAATATTTTCATGCATCACTCCATCTAACTGGCAAAGGAGAATGGAAAATTAAGATAAGCAAATGCTTTTTTTCACCATGCTTAGCAATACAGAAACTGTATTTCTTTTCCAACTCTGGGTATCTGACTCACTGGGGGGTTTACACATTCCATGCTCCATCATGCAATACAAGCCACTGTCTCTGTCTAGTGTCTCAAAATATTTCTACTTTATGAGTATGCTGTCACTTCATCAAAGTCTTACAGTGGAGGAACTCTGCACATTATCAGATGTGCAAACAGTAATAATCTCTTTGGAGACTGGGCACTGTGACTGCCCTCTCTTGTTCTTCACTTCACTTGCAAGGACCCAGGTCTCCTCCAGGGGGCCAGTATTTGGGAGCCAGATTTAAGTGCTATAGCAAGCAAGTGCTGTGAGGAAAACTGCAGTGCTTGGGACAGCTATTCTTTATTGTAAACATATGAACTTCTGTGCCCTTTATAAATGGCAATGCCAGAAAGAAACCACAAGAAAGTGTGTGAAGATGCTAGTTTTGGATAGTATTTGGAAGCACGACAGAGTCTTCCTAGGAATCTGTGGCCTGTGATACTGAACAGTGACACCATGCTAACTCCTAAAGCAAATGCCTAAAAATGAACAAAGCTCTGGGAATACTCTGCAGTCAGGCTTGCTCTCATTTTCCTGAGCCACAGAACCTGTTCAAGCAAACAGATGTAATCACACCACCATTTAAGAATTATAGTCTTGTACAGGAAACTGGAGGACACTTCTAAGTCCAGCAACTCTAAACACAATGTCAGTGGTCAAACAAAGTTTAACTTCTCTTTTAGTTTTAGGCAAAATGAACCACCTTAATGAATCCTGGACAAACCTGGCAGCAGAGCAAGAAC